GCTTATCTCCAGAGCGTTGCTCTGGAGACAAGAGCACCGTTTTCACCCCCCTTCCTCCATTCCAGTCCATCACAATGGGAGAAGTCAGATTTGCTTAATGACCATGTGATTCACTTAACAACTGCAGCAAAAATGGTCATAAAATCAGGTGCGATTCAGTTAATGACCACATCGCTTAGCAATGGAAGTTCCAGTCCCAGTTGTGGTCGTAAGTCGAGGACTACCTTTAATGAAAAACTGGGGAAATTAGTGAATACAGTGCTGATCAGAAACTCTGAATGTAGGTCACACTGTTTTTTGGTAACGTCAAGAGCGGAACTTGAGAAAAAATGGGCACAAGAAGAGAGGGAAATAGTGAAAGAAATTAGAATGAAAGTAGAACTTCAGGAAGAGAAGCTAGAAATCCTGTATGAAAAAGTATTAGGTAGATGAATCTCACAAAAGAATGAGTGGGAAGTGGACAAAAAGAGGCTTTGGAAGCCACTTGGAATAGAGTGAAAAGAATGTTTCAGAGTTCCATAGACATAAGTTGAGTCACATTAATTATGAAAAAGGATTCTTGGAATGATGAAGTGAAAGAGATTCAAAGGTGAAAAAGTCATCTAAGAGAATGATTGCTGCAAACAATAATGAGACAAAGATATTATGGAGATATAGAGAAAAAGATAGTTGCAAAGAATGTAGCCAGAGAGCAAGGGATTTAAGATTAGACACAGCAAAGAAAATGTAGAATGATGTTGATGAAAATTTTTTAAAAAATCTATTTTGGAAGTAGGTGAAGAGGGCTGAACAAGGAGCTTCCACCACAGTGAATAGTATTAAAAATAAAAGGGATGAAATATATTTGCATAAGGAATGTTTGTGATGACATTAGAGGTGAGTTGGTTTAGGATGTGAATGCATGTGTACTTTTATACACAGTGAGGCATTAGATACAAACCAAATGATTTGCAGTGAATGTTAGCTAGATTGTATGCAACCAGCAACAACCTAAGTAGCTGAATTTGTGTACCTTAATGCAATGTTTACTACAGATAGGAAAATGGATAAAGACATTTTAAGATGTGAACATTCTGATAGAAACTTAGTAGACACTATATAGTCTGTTGCAAGGAATCATGTTGAAAGAAACCAAACAGCTGTGTATTAGAGCATGTTTCTGCCCATTTTTGTTATATGGAAGCATGTATGTTAGGTGAAACATAAAAGTTGCATGCAGTGGGAATGGGGTAAATTAAGTGCATGTGGTAATACAAGAGATAGAACTGAGAATGAATGAGAACTGAATGTTTATTGAATACAAAAATGAGCAACCAATAAATATGTTGAAGTGTGAAGGGAAAAAAACAAGAAATTTGTAGCTGGATGGAGTTGATGAAATTCTCAGAATGAGGCAAGTGACAAATTTAAAAGCAACCAACCAATAAAGCAGGTTATGAATGTGGTGGAAGGAAGGATGTTTGCAAGAACAGAAAGGTATGGAGAGAGTGAATGGTGTTGATGTGAATTAGTTTTCACTGTTTCCTTTCCTTTTTGTTATCTCCTGTCTTTAATTTCTACTCGTATGCATCCCAATCACAGCTTATTAGTGAAATGTTCTGAAATCCAGCCTCTGATCTGAATAAAGTAATATTCAGTAGGCATCCATATTGTGGTACTTGATTAGCTCCTAACAATCTGATCAGCTTTTCTTTTTGGAACAGTTTAAGAATTTTTCTTGGAAATACAAAGCAGTGAGGACACCAAAGCTCTCCAAAAAACATTGCCAGCATCCCAAATATTAAGAAATGGAAAGGGTATCACTTATTTTAATGCTACTAGAGGTATGAAGAACTTAAATATTCTATGAAAATTGAGTGAGGCAATAGGAAATGGAAAACTGACTCCGTTGCCTACTCCAAAAACAGAGTAGAAGGTGAGTTGCTAGGCAACCCCATATGGAACACTGGCCTTTTTCATGAAGATAACTACAGTTACCTCTCTGCCTCCCTCATGGGAGTTAATTCAAAGGCCATGTATTAGAAAGAAGGCTTAGGATATGAAATGCTATTAAAATATTGATAAAAGCTCTAATAGAGTCTTTCCACTTCACTGGGCAGAGAGTAAAATCAAGGCAGAGAGAGCCCCACTGTTCCCTCATGGAGGCAGAACAGCTTAAAATGGCTTATCTGAATCCAAACCACCAGGTGGAAATATGGCCGAGAGGCAGGATATTAAAAGCTCGATTGGAATCAGAATTAGTTGCACTATGGTATCTTCCATAAATTTTTAAGCAAATTAGCACACTGATGAATGGGATAAACCTGGCTTTATTAGCTGTTACACTGTTCTTCATTCCTGTTTACATTTAGGGTAGCCGAATGCAGAAGAAGAGGATAGGAGCCTCATTCATAGTTTTGTAAAAAGAGGAACTGACAAGCCAGCCATGATGAAATCTAGGCCAATGTGAAAGATGCAGGAGGTGTTAATGTCCTCATGGACATCTGGCCATTCTATCTACCTTTTATGAATTATAAAGTAATGTTACTTTTATCCAGTGCAATATCAACGATCACAGCTTTATTGGTAATATCGCTGTGCTGGTCAGGAATATTGTCCCTTGTAGGAAAGGTATGCTTTGCTTTCTATAAACAGCTCACCTCTTTTTAGTAGTAGTTGGATTATTTGCTGTAGGAATAAGAAGGATCCTACCTAATAACTAGAATAGGCTTAGACTATTTTCAGTAGGTTATTCTTTACTAGCTTTATTGTGGAATATCCCCTTAAACTATTCTATAGGAAGCTTCTGGCAATTATAAATTCCAATCCACTAAAAAATTAACAATGCCAGTTGTAACAGTAATGAGCAAAATATTCTGCAGCACCTGCTATGCCATAAATAACTAGACTTCAGTTCAGTGGCAACTGAAGCAAAATTCTGTGCCTAAAGTAAGCATGTATAGATGACCGTGGGCACAAATCCTGTAGTGGTTACAGATAGCATTCTAAAAAAGATGGAAGGGGCAGTTCAAAGTTGAAGTAAAAAGTCAGTTCCTTTCCTGCTAAAATCCATGTCTATGTTTAGTTTGCATAAAAAGAAGAGCTTAAAAAAAAGCAAAACCAGCAGAACTAAACAGTTCTAAATGTAGCAACTATTGGTGCAGCAACAGGATGTGGATATGACACAGAAAAAAGAACCTGCACTCAACCACAAGGCTATAATGATGAAATCTTAACATCAGCCTCTGAAAATTGAAATCAGATTTAAGGATGGCAGGAAATTGCAGGATCTACAGAATCACAGAACCCACACCATAACCTTAAGGATAGCTGCAACATAATGGAATCTAACCAAAAATAGATTTGAGAATCTGTTTTTATGTAAGAATGTATAGTAAACATTCACTTTCCTTTCCAAAACATTAATAACGTGTAACACTGAAATGATAGCTTTCAAACTTCATTAGTACCAATGAGGAAAAACATATATAAATAATATTTTATACAGTGTCAGAGTGAACAATGCAATGTCAAGTGCAGAGCTTTACAGTATATGTCATACAGTTTTAATTTTGTTGTTTGTCTTGCATAAATACCACACAGGATTGGCTTGAACCATCACCATAAAGGAAGTAACAGTGGAATGTTATGCCTTGAGCCCCCCCTTTCCCTCCCCACTTCAGGTAGGCTCACCTACAAACCTACTTTTACAGAATCACAGAAGCAGAACTGACAAATAATAAGCATGTCAGGGCTAATGCCCACCTTAACTGGAAGAACATTTAAAGTTCCAGCTACCACACCCTATATCCAAAATGTTGAACTTAGTAATGCTAATAGATGCCTCCTGTGTTGGGGTAACAGGAAGACAATATAACTAAAGGTTTTCATGGACTTACTATATATGGAAATGGACAGGCCCTCAGTCCCATATGGTGCTTCTCCCCAAAATTTTACAGTAAACAGTGCTGGCTATAACAAATGTTTTGTTTTAATATGTAAGCCTTCTAAAAAAAACCCAGATCTGTCTCTGTGTTGCACTGTATGAATACTTTTTTTAAAAAAGCTATCTTATCTCACTCAGATTTTCTACAAAAAAAGTAATAAAAACCCTGGGAAAAATGCCTGGTGAAGTGAAAGCTGTTCTAGAGCTTCAAATGACTTTTAGCAAATGGTGGGAAGAAAGCAGATCATATGAACATCTTTCTGAGACAGAACGACAAAAAATGTTGAGTGCACATACATCCATTTATAGTCAATATGTAATATCATAGTCATGATTGGATTAAGTGGTTAAAGTACCAGTCTAGAAAGCAGGAGACTGTGAGTTCTAGTCCTGCCGTAGGCATGAAAGCTGGTTGGGTGGCTTTGGGCCAGTCACTCTCCCTCAGCCCAGCCCACCTCACAGGGTTGTTGTGGGGAAAACAGGAAAAGGAAGGAGTATTGTTCACTGCCTTGAGTTATTTATAAAAAGAAAGGCGGATAAAAAATCTTTAAAAAAAAACCCCAAAGATTCTCAGAAACAGTCATGTCTGGAAATTCTAGATCTAGACAGGCAATAAATTGCTTGATAGTTCTTTGTCACAATAGCCCAAAGAATCAATTAAGAGTCCAAGCATGAGAGACAGTTGTATCTTAAGTGACAATAAAAAGATATATGTACGCATACACACTGATTTTTTATCCTTCTTTATGACTCAAGTGATGGGCTTTAATGTGGGCAACTGAAGTTCAAATGTGTCCTTAAGTTTAAGAAGTCCATGGCAATCTTAGGAAAAGGCATCATCTCTTAGTCTGACCCACTTTGCGAAAAGATTGGGAGACTGAATATTGTAGAAGGACAACAGAAAAGTATACAGATGTAACATGGAAAAACATCTTCAAGAAATCCCTGGAACAGAGATCTTTCATTTTATATTATATTTTTCATATTATTATATATTAGTACACAATATTATGCACAAACACCATGCAATATGCAAAAATGCAGTCTTAGTTACTGCTAGAGTAAAATAAAGAATTTAAATAAGAATTAAGTTATTAACTGCTTAAGGTTTCCAGCAAAGAAAAATGATACCTTGCAAAAACAAAATAGTTAAAACTGGAGGGAAATAAATATAGCATTGTAGTATTGTTCTTTATTTTCCCCTTTCTTGGTATTCCTGAAGATTCAAATTAGACACCATTTCAAAACATTGGTTACACTCCAAATAAATCACCTCTACAATGTAGAAAGAGCAATGGACACAGCTGGAAGTTCTCTCTGAAGATTTCTCTGCCACAGAGAGATCTTCAAAGAAAGTTCCAGCTGTGCCTGTTGTTTCTTTTACACAGTTTATCTGGATTGCAGCCAGTATCTACAGACGAAAAGTGAGACACCAATGATCTTTGTATTTACTGAACCCTAAATACTAAAGCAGCCTGTTTTTAAAATAAACCTACAAGTAGTCTCTTCACTGTTTTTCACTGGGAACTAGCTGGGTGTGCAGCATCTTCAATTATACAGATGACTTTATAGTTCCTTTTATCTTCCAAATTAACATAAATGCATACATCAATACTCAAGTCCTTAAAGAGGCACGTGCTTTATCAAGTATTTCTTTTCTGATTTTGGGGTAATTTGGATGTGCTTCTAAAACCTGTTGGAAGAAAAAATACCTGCAGTGAGACTGCTTTTCAAGCTACATGTTAACCTTAAAACAGATACCCACACCCACTGCTATTTCTCAATCATTTGTTTTTATTCCAGAGAATACATAAATACATTATATATAATCATATATTGTAATCTATTTGTTCTACCATTAGATTACACATCTGCTTCATTCTGATTCTTAACATGTAAAACACAAACCATTATCAGATAGTCAGTGTAGTTTACCTTATGACAAATATTGATTGCATCAATATATCTCTTGGCTTTCAGGTAATTAAAAGCTAGCTTGAAACCTGTAAAAGCAGAATGATAAAGATTTTGCAAAGGAATTTTTTTAAGAACTAAAAATACAGAACTAGGATAGCATGTGCATATTTCTCAGTTTAAATTATAGTACAAATGGAAGACATGTTAAAATGAGAAGATAACCTGTTGGTCTGTTATTCATAACTTTAATTTCAATCAAAGGTTACCCTCATCCCCCAAGTTCAAAATCCTCAACAACAAAAAAACAGGAAAAGAAGGGACAAAACAGAGAAGTCTTTTCTCTTTAACTTCCCCCCATCCATCTCTTTTCATCCACACTTTCTGACTGCACAAAGTTGGTTTCATAGTTGCTTACTACAACACCTTCATTTAAGCTTGCAAGTACATGACTTGAACAGAGCATTCCAATCTACTTCCCAAGCTCAACTGCATGAAATCCCCTCAAGTGGTCCCATGGAACTGAGGAAACTCTTGGATTAAGCACAATTAGATATGTTTCTATTAAGTTAAGTTTGCTCAAGTTAGAAAGCGCTGAGCTACATCATAAGGGACTATAAGCCAGCTCTATGGAGCTTGGGCTTGGATAGACTCAATGCATACTTTTTATGGAGTTCACTCTGGAGTCAATGACATCTCAGTAATAGGTATGCAACATTCCTCAGTGGCTTCATGGAATGAAGAATGTGTTGTAACAACATGCTTTTGAGCTCCAAAGCCAAGCAGAGGAAGAGGGCTTGTGGATTTAAGAGTTGAATACAGAAAGCTCCACTCATCTCCCAAATGCAAGTGAATTTGCTCCTTTCGAGGTCCTACAGGTATCACAGAGGACTAGAGTAAACAAAAGAGGAGGGAACTGGATCCCCAAAATGCATACCTGAGGCTAATTCTACAAACATTGAAACTGATGGCATTCATCCCCTCTCACAGTTTAAGAATTTTGGAAGGGGAAAATGAGAGGATGGCTTGTGGCCCTTGAAAGAATGTTTGCTTCTATCCTCAAGGAAATTAAGTAGCTTCCCTTCAACTGAACTCTGCCTTGGTCAACTTGAGAGAGTTCTCAGAACCACACTGCTCTCTGCTGCCAACATTCTCCAATAGCATAAAATTAGCTTTCATAAATAGCACTTATCCCCATCAATTTGAAAGACACAGGGGTCTTCTCCAAAAATTCAAGAAGTGATGTGTCACATACTTCCAAGTATGTGCTTTTTCCATCTGGGCACTCATGATGCCTGTCTATGGATGTCCACTATAAGAATATGTGTGTGGGTGTGCACACATGCGTGTGCAAAAAGCTCTTTTACTGAAAAGTATGCTATTCCAGAATGAAAACATGTAGCCTCCATTAACTGGATTACTGGCTTTCCAAATGTCTTTAAAACAGACAGGTATCAATTTTAGAAAAGTTAGTGATTTTCTATCTCACATAGAATGTTAGTCATTTCAGTATGATTTACACTGCAATAAATACGTGCATCATATTTACAAAAAGGAGGAATCTCCTTTTTTTTGTTTTCTGAACTACTCTTTTATGCTCACATAAAAGAGTAGTTTATCTCATATTTTTGCTAATTTAACCATAGGACTCCCTCTTGATAAACACAATTTGTTCGCCTGCAGCAGAATGCTATACATATCTCTCAAAAGTAGATTCTCAAGCAAATACATGTAGTATCTTCTTGATTGACAGCACTATCTTCTAATGTGGCTGTTAATACATTTGACTAATTTTAGACCATATTCAGATAGATTTCTACTATTGTAAGGAATGTATTTTCCAATTAAAAGTACTAAACTGAATACAAAACATGACATCAAGGCTAAAACAGAAAAGAGTTTAAAGAACAAATCACGGACATTTTATTGAACCACTGGCAGAATCTACCTCTTTTCTTAATACTCTGCTTTCAGTGGGCTGAGACCACAGTTCAAAAGTGAGTGTTCTGCTTTGAAGTCATACATTCTAATATCAGTTCCCTATTATTCTAAGGGTGGGTATCAAAGCAGGTGAAAAATGGTCTGGTAAAGAATAGGAGAACATATAATCTGACCTGATAGCAGGCTCATGGTTCCTATTTCCAAACTCGGCAAGTCCCATAAATAATTTGCCTTGGCTGGTAATAATTATGGTCAGTTGACACCACAAAAAAGCAGATGCCAAGAATGGACCTACCAATGGCTGGATTGGTTTGGTTCCCATATTTCCAGGCCATCTCATAGTTTGCAGATGCATCTTTGTATGCTTGCTCCTTTTCCATAATGTATCCCATATATTCATAAGCTTTGCAACAGGACTAAAAAAATAAAAAGGAATGTTATCCTATATAACTAAATTCTAAAGTTAGAATTCTGTTATTACAATAATAAGCTAGTTTTTGGGCTTTTTCTAAAAAAAAATTGTGTGGATATAGGACTAAACCAGAATGTTGCCTTTGTTAGCTAATGAAGAAAATAACACTGAAGAATTTCTTGGACGGCCAAGGGTTGCAAGGAAACTAATGATGACCCGCAGTAGCCATAAGCCTGAGAGTCAGCTCTCTTCCTCTTAAGAGTCACATTAATTAAAAATCTCAAGATACAGATTATTTAT